TTAGCCAATTATAGTCATTCATGGAGCTGCTGACAAGCTAGAAGCAAACTCTAAAGGAACATACCAAATCGGTAGAAATGACAAATGGGGAAAATCGATAGCTCAGTAAAAGGGGAAGCAAACCTAGCAAATGATCCGTCCAGTGCCCGGCTGCATCGCCGGTTGCTGCAGGGAGGTCCGAGTAGCCATCCACCCCTTCCCCACTAATCTAGGGTTTGCGAGAGGGGTGACGAGAGGGGTGGCGGCGCAGCTTTAGGCCTGTTCAGTTTAGAGGGGATTGAAGAGGATTGGAGAGGATGGAGGGGGAATAATTCCACACCACAATAGATATGGAATAAATCCCCTCCAATCCCTCTCTCATAGGGATTAACCGAACAAGGCCTTAAAGGTCGGACGAGGGCGGGGAGCGGTGGGTTGAGAGGACGGGACGGCAGGAGGCGAGGCCGCAGGCGGTGGGGTGGCTCGACTCCGGCGAGAGCGTGCTTCCGCCTTGGCAGGCGCTCAGTCAACGGGAATACGCGAGCGAGAATAACTTGGGACGGGATAGAGAGGAAAAAGAAAAAGCTAGGGGCAGTTTCATCACAATCAAACTTAAAAAATAGCAACACCTTTTCTATTAGCCGAAAATGATGAAAATGGCATTGTATCAAATTGTACTCGGTTGAGGATGGTATTCTAGTGAAACCTATTTGAGTAATGGTATTCTGGCGAAGCCAGTTTTATGCGACGGTAGATATGCAATTTTCTCATCTTGAAGCCCAGATCGTGGAATCACTCGAAATAGAGTGCTTGGCGAAATGATAGAAACATCTAACAGCCCTAGCTTGTACATCCTCCATTATAGCCATTCCCTCTACATGTATCTCAGCCTATGTTGCTACTTAGTTTCCAGGTGCCCCTCATTCTCAACATCTATAGTCAATAACAAAGAAATGCTAAATTAACCGACAGATAAATTCTAGTAAGGAGCCCTCGCAAGCAAAATGAACTTCTAGTTAAAGACAATTTGGTTATATATATGGAGAGCCATATATAACAAGTACATATATATCATGGTTGTTCTAGCATGAGCATACACTCAGAGGGGAACATTTTGAACAATCGGTCTACTAATGTATTAGGGAATTACACCCTCCGTCCCAAAATAAGCGTAGCCATAAATTTCCATGGCCAACTTTAATTGTCCGTCTTATTTAATTTTTTTTGAAAAAACTAAAAAACACAAGTCACACATAAAGTACTATTTATGTTTTTTTAATCTAATAACAATAAAAATACTAATCATAAAAAAATTTCAAATAAGACGGACGATCAAAATTGGACACGGAAATTTATGGCTGCACTTATTTTGGAACGGAGGTAATATATTCCAATGCATATTGGTGGTCAAACATATAGAAAACAAATTATTTTTGAGGGAAACTACGGCGGGTGTTCACACCAGCCTGAACTTTATCGATTAAAATTAATAGGATTTACAAAGGTGGAGGTTAAGGGGGAGGGGGGAAAACAAATTATATCCATCCAAGGATAGAGGATCAAATGTATCAAATACATCATAATTGTGATCACCTGGCAATAATTGTGTCAATTTTCAGTGGGGAGAGATATATCTGATTTCAATCTTTCCCGTAAGCTAGGCCTCTACAAAGCTCTTGCCATCTTCAAGAGCGTACTCAGGCCTAGGCGTAGTTAACTTACAGAGCTAGCCATCAAGAGCCTTCCAACACTAGCTATTTTTCTCTGCAGTGAGCTCGTACGTTCCAGCCGAATACCTGGAATAGCTAGAGATACAGTGGTTGGTGCTGTCAGCGATGTCTCGATTAACCACTTGTGTCATGTCCTACCTAAGGGACATAAACACTGCCTGTAGAACGATCTTTCCTGATTCCCCTCATCCTCAGCTTCTATGATCATATGACTACAACGATATGATTGAGGCTCCGACAAAACGCGAAAAACCATCTGAAATTTTTTTGCTCATTTCCGAGCAAATCAACTTAATTGGGATCAAATATATCTTTCCCCCTAGTCCAAGGACATAGCTAGGGAATTGGATGTGAGTTAAAACATGGGAGTGATGGCTCCCGGAGGCTTAACAAATAGTACCAGCTAGTAAGCTGGTTATATGGAGAACCACACACACACACACACACACACACACACACACACACACACACACACACACACACACACACACACACACATATATATATATATATATATATATATATATATATATATATATATATATATATATATCTCATGTACTTCCTCCTTTTTTTTTAATATATGATGGCGTTCACTGTTCGAGATACGTATGACTATTCAATAAAATTATGTAATTATTATTTATTTTATTATGACTTGATTTATCATCAAACTTTCTTAAAGCATGATTTAAATATTTTTATATTTGCACAAAAGTTTTGGATAAGACGAATGATCAAATGTTAATTAAAAAGTCAATAGCATCATATATTAAAAAAACACATTAATAAACGGAGGTAGTATTCAGGTGTGCAAATCAATCGCATGGGCTGATATAGGTATTTGCATGGAAGCCATTTGGGGTGTGATTTTCTTTAGGGCCATGCATGGAGAGAATTTCTTTTGTCGGTCTATTAATTCTACCAGCTGGGAAATTAAAAGAACAACTCGTTTTCATTTGTTTCTAGATAGTGAAAGCATTTAATTTGTGAACACCTACAACCTGACTCGCCTATTCTTTCATCCAGTTAGTCCCGTACACTTGGGTGGCTATATACACAATTTCTATAGTGATGATTAATATATCTTGAACGGTGTGTATGTTTTATGCTATACAATTTTTCATCACAAAAGAGTATGCACAGCCTAATTAAGTACTATTTGAAAGAGAAGAAAAGACTCCCGTGTCGCTCTCTGCAGGGCGACCCGGGAGGCAACCATTGCCGAGGCCCGCTCCTCCTCCGCGCACACCACCTCGCCGCTGCCAGTGACGTTGCCACCCACCCTCTTCCTTCACACTTTAGTACCAGATTCCACAGAGGTACATCTTTGGAATTTCCCACTTGTTTTGTGTTCTTCGGTTAGAATAAAAATATTTCTGGAGATGCCTGCAGGGCAGCACAACTTTCGTCTTGCTGCCATGGGGAAATTAGACCAACTTTAGAGGCACCTCAAACTGCAGTAAAGATAACATTAGGTGCAATTCTCCAATTATCAACACCATGACATGCTTATCATTGCTGAATATTGCATAGGTTTGCTCGACGCATTAGCTTCTGTTGCACTTCATTTTTCCTCCTTGCCTCTCATTCTCATCCTCCTGTGTCATCTTCCCCCGCATGTATATGCAAGTGAATTTCTTGATAATGGGTAGAAATCCAACCACATATATATATATATATATATATATATATATATATATATATATATATATATATATATATATATATATATATGACACTCATATGAGGCACCATGGTGCCCGGGCACCATGGTATGAAATACACAAATTCGCCCAACTTTTTTAAAATTTTTAAATTGTGAGTATATACCTAGTTATAAGTATTCGATTCATACCAATACCTAGCAACAAAACAACTGAAATTTAACTTTATTTCACAATCCAATATTACATACCTAATTAATTATATGTTTGGATGTTATATACCTAAAATCAAATTCTAATAAAAACATGTTTAAATTCAGTTCGAACTTGTTTTGAACTAGTTAGTAAAGTAGTTAATATTAATACCTAAACATTTGAAAAAAATTCAAACTTATTTAAATTAAGTATATACTTAATTTGAATCATGGAGCCCGGGCACCATGGAGCACCAAACAAATTTACTATATATATATATATATATATATATATATATATATATATATATATATATACATATACATACACACATACATACATACATACAAACATACATACATATACATACACACACACATACATATACATACATACATATATATATACATTTATATATATATATAGTAAATTTGTTTGGTGCTCCATGGTGCCCGGGCATGGGCACCATTGTTGAAATTGAGTATATACCCAATTCAAATGAGTATGAAACTTTTTTAATTACTTAGGTTTAATATTAACTACTTTACTAACTAGTTCAAAGCAAGTTTGAACTGAATTTGAACTTGTTTTTGTTAGATTTTGATTCTAGGTATATAGCATCCATACATATAATTAGTTAGATATATAATCATGGAGCACCAAACAAATTTACTATATAGGACACTCATATGGTATCTAATGCACAAAATCACTCAAATTTTTCAAATTTTTCAAATTGTGAATATATACCTAGTTATAATAATTCGATTCATACCTATACCTATCAACAAAACAACTCAAATATATATATATCAAATAGTTGGCAGACAAAGAAGTGTTGGTGTTGTATATCTAGATGTTTTGCGTTTTCGATTTTCATCTGCTCCAAGAGGTCCTGGGGAAGTGGGGAGTGTCCAAGTTACTAAGTGTAGATAGGGTATGGTCTCTAGCTGTGCCAGAGGCCAAGGTTAGATGAGCTGCTGTATGACTTTGGTAAAATAGTAAAGAAAGGCTTAGTGACACTATCCACATTAGTATAGAACACAAAAAGTGTTTAATTTGCACCAATTAATCGTTTCATATGGTTAAAATTTTACTTAACTTGGGCCAAGGCTACTGTTAGTAAAGCAAAATTTGGTTAACACTGAGAATGGAGTTATGATTGAATTACGGTGAGAATGTGAAGTACGGCGTTGATCATGGTACTGAAATTATCGATCAAGATTTCTGCTGGGTTAAAGAATTTTGTTAAGGTGCCAAATGGAGTGGCAAAATCAATCTAAAATAATTACAGTGTGTTACTTTTGTTGCATAATATTTTTGAGAATTAATTTTCCAATGAGTTTAAGTTGAACCAATTATTTTTTATAATTTTCTTAGACACTCAAATGAATATATGAATCCTAGTGCATATAAGAGCCAAAAACAATTAAAATAAGGCATGCACATGGAGAGGTGCTGACTTTATTTATTGCCACATTTTCATACACATAATTTACTGGGTACACCTATAGTGGTATGTTACAAATATAAAAGTACAAGTGTTTTAACAACGATAATACATGTTTTCTAATGCAAACATGTATATTTGGACCAACGCTTGTAATTGGGCAGTGAATGCAGCAAGTTTGCAAATTATTTATTTAACTGCATTGGTTCAAACTTGTGTAAACAGAGTAGCCCTCCAAGATGTAAATCATCAAGCTACTGACTGATAGCTATTACATATCTACCGGTAATGGATGGCGAATGACTGGAACAAGCGAAAGATCATGGAGCCGTCGTGCTATTGCCCCCATCTCCTCCTTCATATCAAGGTTCCCAAGCTCCGTCTCATCAGGAAGCTCCCAGTTGAAATGGTACAAGAGACTTGCTAGCACAAGCTCCAAGTTCACTAGACCAAAAGCTATTCCAGGACATATCCGTCGACCTACTCCGAACGGCATGTACTTGACATCGGTTCCATAGTAATCAATGTTGACATGCTCGAATCTCTCTGGGATGAACTCTTCTGCTTGGTCCCAGTACATAGGGTCCCTACTTATAGCCCACATGTTAACGAGTATCATAGTTCCTTGGGGCACATGAAATCCTAAGACCTGGCTTGTGGTTCGGCTTTCTCGCAGGAGCAACGGAAGTCCTGGAGGGTGCAGCCGGAGCCCCTCCTTGATGACCAAGTGCAGGTAACTCAGATTTCTAAGGGCTTCCTCTGTAACTTTGTGATGTTTTCCAAGCACTTGTCGGACCTCGTCTTGTGCCTTTTGCATCACTCTTGGGTTCCTGATGAGCTCAGCCATAATCCATTTCAGTGTCGTTGCGGTTGTCTCGCTGCCCCCATTGAACAAGTCCTGTATAACACATAGCCAAATTTTCATTTTTGCTTAGTACATTAATTTTGAAATTAGCTTGGTAATTAAATTTTATGGTTTTAGGATGCTTACTCCGATTGTTGTCTTGATGTTATCAGTGGATAGTGGGAAGTCACCTTTTCTCTGGATCCTCAGGAGTACGTCAACCAAGTCCAAGTCCTCCTGGTCATCGGAGGAAGATCTGTTCTCTTGATGCTCCTTGATAATGATGTCCAAGAACTCGTACACTTCGTCGCGATGCCGCCTCATCTGGCGAGGCCTTCTACTGATCAGCTCGGCGAGGCGCGACGATGGGTAAAGATCTGGCAAGCTCGGCGTGGCGAATAGCTTCACACCGCGCTCTAGCAGCATCAAGAACTTGTCCCGGTCCTTGAACCGGCTCCCTATCAGGGCGCGCATCGTCGAGTCGGCCGAGTAGGCCGAAATGAGCTCGCTAAGGTTCACGGCGCGCCGCGCCGGCGAGGCCGCCGCCACCGCCCGGAGCAGCCGGCCGACCTCCTCCTCGCGGATCGGCCGGAAAGACTGGACGCGCTTGGCGCTGAGCAGCTCGACGGTGCAGATCTTGCGGAGGTTCCTCCAGCTATCCCCGTAGGGCGTGAAGACGATCCCCTGCGAGTAGGGGCGTAAGTGGCTAACCCGCGAAACCCGCTTATAAACTAAAATAAGCCGCGAGCCCGTTTATTTTAACTTATAAGTGAGTTCGCGGCTGACCCATTTACACCCCTACCTGCGAGCCCTCGGGGAAGACCAGCTGCATTACTCGGGTGGAGGGGCGCGTCGCGAAGGCGAGGTCGTGCGTCCTCATGACCTCGCGCGCGGCGTCCACCGAGGAGGCCAGGATGACTTGGAGGCCGCCGAGCCGGAGCCGCACGAGCGGCCCGTGGCGCAGCGCGATGTTGCGCATGGCGTGCTGTGGCGGGAGCGCGCCCATGAGGTGGTGCAGGTGGCCGATCACCGGGAGAGCCCATGGAGATGGTGGGAGCCGGACGCTGCCGCCATCGCGACGACGAATGGAACGGATGAGGAAGAAGAAGAAGAAGGGGGCGATGAAAAGCAAGAGAACCAGGAGCTGTTGGGGGAGGTGAACAAGCTGATCCGCCATGGCTTGTGTTGTCTTGCACCAGATCGATACAAAGTTGCTAAAATTTTGTATCTATGCAAAAGAGAGTTCACTTGCATTTCGTTTGCTCTTGCAGTTGAGCAGCTTGGTTCTTTATATAGTCCATTCTTCAATAGCTCGATCTGCACCATCAACTTGTGGGGCCACAATTTGGTTGATGCCAGAATCTTTAAAAACCACACTTTGCAACCACATAATCGCACATGGTAAATACTTAATTCTCCTTAATTCTTTGCTTGTGTCTTGCCTAAGTTGCGGCGCACAACTTATATTAGAAGCCACACCTTACAAAATTAGTGGGCTATTAACAAATAAAAAAATAGCTACTTCCTTAATTATTAGTCGCCTGGTTTTATATATATATATATATATATATAGATAGATAGATAGATAGACAGACACACACACCAGTATCCAAGTACACTACTTGCATTCACGCACAAGTCATAGCCTACGCACACTTATACAATCTAAATTAAGGTTGCAAGTTCAATTAATTATTAGTACAAATGATCGAAGTGTAATTTTCAGTTTGCTTTGTTTTTTCTTTTCTGAATAATTATTTATGCATTATTATGCTAATACAGTTCATAACTTTGTGTTTCATATATACTGATAAGAATTTATGCCAATACACTTTTTTAAGTTTTAGGACAGACCCTTCCTCGCTCCTTCACCTCGAGATAATTAAAGAAACACATAAATGTGTGAGTTGTTGATACATATTGATCTAGTACTAAAAGAGTGTCTGATGAACAAGAGAAAAATCTCAACTGCTTGAAAAATAATAGATAGTCTCAAATATTAGTGAATAGTACCTTTTGAGTTTTCTTGATGACAATATATGATAACGTTATGCATGTACAATCGTGTATGATCTGTCAGGATCATTTCATGAATTCAGTATGATTTTTCTGTTGACGCTGTGATTCCTAAGATGAATTATTAATTTAATTAGCGCATGCGATGATTGATCAGCACTACTACAAAAATCCTAAATGGTGCCGGTTATAGGTGCCGGTTCCATAACCAGCACCTTTGAGGCGCACAGGAGCAAAAAAAAAAAAAAAAAAACCGGCTCGATGCATCGGCTCATCGAGCAGCTCCCCAGCGCACATACAAGAAATCATGATTCATCGTCACAGAAATTCCTCAATATCAATTCATCAATATCAATATCTCACCATCATAGAAATTCAACATCAGCATTAATTCATCAACATCAGCATTAATTCATCAACATCACCATTGATTCATCAACCACTGCATCCCCACACAAATCACAGAAATTGAATCCCCACACAAATCAGAGAAATTGAAGATTCACCATCAAATCGCTGTCGATGCCGCCTCCAGGAGGCCGGATCCAGCAGCCCCCAACATCTAGGCGACCGGATCCGGCGCGGTGCAGCGAGGAGGCGGCGAGGAGGATGGAGGGGCATGGCCACCGCTGCCGCCTCCGCACTACTTCCATTCACGCACAAGTCATAGCCTACGCACACTTACACAATCTAAATTAAGGTGGCAAGTTTAATTAATTACTCCCTCCATTTCAAATTGATTTACATATTTCATAGGTACACCAAGACCAAGAAAAGCTAATAACTCTCTCATACTATATTTACTCTAGCAACAAATTCGATGCATGCGCGATCCCCGTTATTTCCTAGCCAATAGCAAATTAAGATATTACATGTGGGTTATAAAAACTTGTGTGCATGCATCAATGTCCATTTACTCCAATGCACAAATAACGAATAGACTTAATGAATAAACACAAATATGTATATCATTTAGGAATAGCTTCAAAAAGACTATATGTAGATCAATTTGGAATGGATGGAGTATTAACAAATGGTCGAAGTGTAATTTTCAGTTTGCATTTTTTTTTATTTTCTGAATAATTATTGATGCATTGTTATGCTAATACGGTTCATAACTTTGTGTTTCATATATATACTGATAAGAATTTATGCCAATACACTTTTCAAAATTTTAGGACAGAACCTTCGCTCCTTCACCACGAGATAATTAAAGAAATACATAAATGTGAGTTGTTGATACATATTGATCTAGTACTAAAATAGTGTCTGATAAACAACAGAGAAATCTCAACTGCTTGACAAATACTCCCTCCAACCCTAAACATTTTACGCCGTTGACTTTTCTAAATATGTCTGACTGTCTTATTAAAAAAATTAAGTAATTATTAATTCTTTTCCTATCATTTGATTCATTGTTAAATATATTTTTATGTATACATATAGTTTTACATATTTCACTAAAGTTTTTGAATAAGATGAATTAATCAAAATGTTTAAAAAAGTCAACAACGTCAAATATTTAGGGACGGATAGAGTAGATAGTCTCAAATGATAACGTTATGCATGTACAATCGTGTATGATCTGTCAGGATCATTTTCATGAATTCAGTACGATGAGTTGACGTTGTGATTCCTAAGATGAATAATTAGGCCCTGTTTAGATGGGACTAAAACTTTTAAGTCCCTATCACATCGGATGTTTGAAAATTAATTATAAATATTAAACGTAGACTATTAATAAAACCCATCCATAATCTTGGACTAATTTGCGAGACGAATCTAATGAGCCTAATTAATCCATGATTAGCCTATGTGATGCTACAGTAAACATTCTCTAATTATAGATTAATTAGGCTTAAAAAATTTGTCTCGTGAATTAGCTTTTATTTATGTAATTAGTTTTGTAAGTAGTCTATATTTAATACTCTAAATTAGTGTCTAAAGACAGGGACTAAAGTTAAGTCCCTGGAAGTAAACACCACCTTAATTTAGCGCGTGCGATGATTGATCAGCCATGCATCCGGCAGTCTCAATTATTGATCTGATCGATCTACATCACATAAAGAATACTACCTCCGTCCCAAAATAATTGCAATTATATGTTGTTTAGCATATATTAAGGTTTAAGAAGAAAGACTATGGTGCCCCTTATTAAATGATGTTTATGTGAGAGTGGAAAGATGGTTGAGGGTAAAATAAGGAGAAATTTGAATGAGATATGATTGATGGGGCAATTAGTACTCTAGAATTACAATTATTTTGGGACGATTTTTGAATCCTAGAAATACAATTATTTTAGGACGGAGGTACTATATTATACTATCAACAAAACTTGAAATTGAACGAACCACATTGACCGTAGAGAGAGGGCATAAGAATCTATTTTGTCTTATCATTACATATTACGAATATAGCTCAAATTAAAACTGGCACTATATTCATCGTGGATGTTCAAGGGCATGGGCAATAGCCCATATATAGTGTGATGCTTGAGACACTGTGTTTAGGACAACTAAGCTGAAAGCCCGTGCTTAGCTACAGATAAAAGATAATATATTGATATGTTATCCATCTTTGAGCTGTGAACTTTTTTATATGAAAAGATTGAAGTATTAACTGTCATAATACTATGTTTAAATTTTAAAGGAGTATATATATGCAATATCAGGATTATGATACTATTACAGGTGGTAGGTAACATGTTTGTGCAAGCATATTTTTTTGAACCGCTTACAAGGTCCTATAGAGCAGGGGTTTTAATTTGCATAAGTCAATTTCACAACCACTCGTAAAAATCAATTTTAACACTCGACTCTTTTAGGTAACCGCCCGAGATGTCTAGGCAAATGAAGACTACACGGGTCGGTGCCCGTTAGTCGAGATGCCATGGCACTGGACTAGTACGCGGGTGGTCTCACCCCTATGTGTGTGGCGCACCCGGTCTAGATCCTGTTGCTTGGGGCTCAATCCTGGCCTGCCTGTCCCGGGATACCGGCCGTAGGCAGGGTTGGGTCGGTACTTTTGTTCACGGCTAGGATGGGTGAAGGGTTATGTCACATGTTTACGACGGGTTCCAAGGCCATGGAATGCGGAGTAAAGATGTGTCTTGTGGGTAAAGATGTACACCTCTGATCAAAGTAAATCTATTCGAATAGCCGCGCCCTCGGATATGGGCAAGCCTAGCAACGTACCCAAGTTAGTGGTTTAATTCTTAAAATTTGCTTAACAACTAAAATATGGAATGGTTGGCCTGGGTTGGTTTGGGACGAGCTGGGACCCAGGTCGGGTTGCCAGTTCGGTCTGAATCATCGTAGGTCTTGGGTTAAGGCAGGTTCGTGTGGGTCCACGGCCTTGATTAATAATACTGTGTAGCTCTAGAATCGTCTTTATAAAATAGCTTTGGGCAACTAAGTGTCTTTTAAATGTTGTTTACTGCAAAACCTAATCCCCTATATTATTACCCCTTGTACTCCCTTGCATTAATCATGCATCTCCCGGTGTGACTTGCTGAGTACTGTGGTTGTACTCATTCTTGCTCTATCTTTCCCTCCCTTCAGTAAGAGAAGTTTTGGAGAAGAAGTCTTAGGTGGAGTCCTGGCTTATACCCCAGTTGAGCGCCTGTGAAGATGGAGCCATAGGCCCGCTAGTCCGCTGCTGTTTATTTTTGATTGTCAGGCCTGAAGTGCCTTTGTAATAATGTAAATATTATCGATATAATAAAGATGTGCCGTTTGTATCATGTTTGTATGGTGTACCCCGGCTTTTCCTGGGACGGGGATTAATACACTAGCATTCGGGAAAAGGCAATTTTCTCGGTCGCGACAAGCTGGTATCAGAGCCATCTCGACTGTAGGTTAAGCCAAGTGGACAAAACCTAAGGACATATTTTATAAATGTGGGGCCCACGGGAGTGGGGCCCACGCGGTAGCGTCACGGTCCACGGTGGACCGGGCGCACCCGAGGGCGCGGGCAGCTGACGGCCGGGCCCCACGCGGCAGCCACTCAGTGCGGCCGAAGGCAGCTATGCCGGCGCGGTCGGCGGGAGGCGACGCGCCCGCGCCCCTATGGTCGCCGGCTGCCGAGAGAGGGGAGGGAAAGGGGGAAAAGAGGCGGAGGTCCACGGCTCACCCTAGATCGACGGCGATGACGAAAAAGGCGACCGGAGCGGAGGAAGGCGGCGGCGCGGCTCGGGTCGACGGGGTCGGCGGCGTTCCGGCGGTCGGCGAGCTCGACGAGGGGGTGGACGGGGACGGCAACGGT